TAGCCCTGGGGGGGTATCTACTCATGGCAAGAGTAGCAAAGCACTGGGGAGTCTGAAGGAGGTGACAGTCTAATTGGTATTATAATGTATCATACCTTGCATCGGTGAAGTTGACCCAACATTATGGGGAAATTGCCATTTACAAAATACATTATAAAGATGTTATAGCCCCTTTTGCCGCATTGTTTTGCCTCTCTTCTATATCAATAGCAATACCCATATTTTCTGCAGAATAAGTAGCTGTGATTCCAGCCCTCAGTTATCCAAGTATAGATATTATGTGCTGTATACTTATTTATTCTGGGTATTTGAAATACTATTTTTCCTTTTCGTGTGATTTGTACTTCTCCATGTTGAAGTATAGATGTTTGGATGCATGCCTGGAAATCAATAAAGATTGTTGTTTTTTTAATAGCCTTTGAACAATCCTATGTCCATTATTGCCCATTAAATAGGATTCTGACCTCTTGTGAACGTGCACTGCGGTCCTAGAGAGATCAAGCTAGCAGGATAGAATACTGAACTAGTACTGCTGCTGCTTCTACAACTAGTGTTTTGTTCAGGAACAGGGAACCTGTGCCCCTCTAGACACTGTACAACTCCCATCACCCCTGAAGATGCCTGCATTGCCAGAAGTTGGACTAGATGACGCTTGTGGTCCCTTCCAACTCTACAATACTGTGATTCTATGCTGGCTGGGGCAGATGAGGGTTGGCATCCAACAGTATCTGGAACAGAGACAGCTGACCCATGACGCTTGGTGAGACAGTTGCCTCAGGTGGCAGGCTGGGGACAGCTGGCAGGGATGGCAGATCCAGGCCCCTGAGGCATATGACACTTGCCACCCCCTGTGCTTGTTGCCCCCTGCTGCCTTCTCCTCTCTAGTCCCCTTTTTTCTCTCCCGCCACCTTCAGCATGCCAGGGCTTCTCCAGGCTGCCTCCAGGTGCTTAAGGCAGTGGAGGAGGAGGAAGAAGTGAAGGCAGTGGAGGTGCCATTTGCTGTTTTGCCTCACGCAGCAAAGCATCCTGCGCTGGCCCTGGATCTAGAGAGGCACAGATTCTCCATCCCTGGTGAAGCATTTACTTTACACTGTGTACTGTGCAGGCTATAGAGGTGATAAAACAATTGTCCGCCAGATAATTTTAAAACCATCAATAGATATGGGGGGGGACAGTTCAAAATAATTCTGAAAGTAAGGCAGCAAAGGAAATCCAGTTAAGGCTAAGATAGTGAGAGAAACAGCATTTCTGAAGGAGGGAAATAACTTGACAAATATAAGAGGAAGGCAGCATGGAACTAGGCAGATAGATGGGAGGAAGAGGGGAAGAAGGAGAAGACAAAGAAAGGCAGTAGATGCACAACAGAAGACCAAGTGGAAAAATGAGAGAACAAGCTCTTCTTGTGTGACGCTGGCCGTGTGGGAACCATTGCATCACTGCCCCTTCCCATGTTGCAAGCAGCTAGGTGAAAAGCCTCAAGCAATGTGGTCTGTCCTTGCTGTTTCTCTTCTCCATGCCAGCATTGCAGGCAGCTCTTTCCCAGCTGCAGGATGGGCTCCTCCCTCTTGGCCCAGTAATGCAGTATGTGGCTTATGTGATAAGAAACAGCCACCAAAGAAAACAGAGCATCAGTGGTTGCAAAGAGCCACCAGGACAAGTCTCAGTTCTGAGTACCAAGAATAGAAACGTGCTGTGTGTCAAGAAGTATAATAGTGGAGATCAAACATCAAAGAATGCAGACACACTGACACATACGAGCACTCAAAATAAACAAAGAGAAATTCACTGGAAACGCTGGATAGGACGATTCCAGTTGAGTATAAAGGTTGGAAAAGAAGGGATAAAGAGGGGAAAGAAAGAAATACACACCACACACTCAAAAAGAAATGAAGGGGGAAAGGAAAGGAGGATGGTATGTGATGGGAGATGCAATGTCAAGAAAGGTTAAAACTTATTTTTAAGGACAGGGCAGATTTGAGCACTCAAAAGGAGACAATGGATGAAGAAAGGTTGAATGGGAATGCATGAAGGAAGAGGAGATGGAGAGGAAGACTGCATTTCACAATACTGTGCAATCAAGAATTGGCAGCCAAGAGTTATTGTGCCTAGACTGTAGAGGGATTGTGAAGATATAGGAAGTCCAAATGATAGTTATGTCTGCCATCAATAAAAATAACAGAAAATGGGGAAATCACTAGTCTTTTTTATATTTCTTGATGTTGTGACAACCAGCTAGCACTATATTTTTTACTATTTCTGATTTCATACTGATAACTTTCTGAATTGTGATTCTAAAGGCTCATATATAATCAAACAACTAAAGCCAAGGAAACGTTAAAACCAGGTTGCCAGGAATACCTAAAATGACAAAGCAGGTGATCGCTTGTGTGCTGTCAAATTGGGAGAGAATTATCTTTGCCAAAGAAACCTTCAAAACCTTCAACATTCTACAGAACCTTCTGTTCAGCTAAAATTGTTTTTGTTTTGCTTTTTGCTCATTTTTCACCTGAAGGAGCCCAGGCCACCATTTTGCAATATTTTTAATATGCATCACTTTAATCTTTTAGATTCTGCAGTACACACACATATTACATCTGGCTGGTGGAAAAGACTATCATGTTATCCTGTATGGGAATATGCATTTTTATCATACATGACACAGAGAAGGAGACTTGTGGATATATGATTATATATCTTTCTCTTAAGAGACTAAAGGCTTAAAAATGCAGCAGCAATTGTTTTCATTTACACAGTACTGTATATTGACTATATTTTACTGTGATATCATCATGCAGAGAACATAGGGCTTGCTATTGCATAACTGATAATAGATTCTTTCCATTTCTTAAAATATATAGATCTCACTGATATGTGCTTCTCCAAATTTTTATACGGCGTTTTCTCTGCTAGGAAACAAGGGGTGAGACCTGGCAATTGCAGACAGGAAACACGAAAGACAAGTCTGTCAGAATCATTTTCTTCTAGGTTATGTTGCTGAACGCCTATTTCAGACTTTGAAAGAAGCAGAGTGAATTCTTTCACTCTCTTTTTACTTCCTTGCATGAGTGAACTTAAGTACTAAAGCACAAAGTTAAACATCTCTCTGAAGCTAATAAATTTTGAGAGAGAGAGGGAGAGAGGGAGAGAGAGAGACTCATCATTCTCTTTATTTCTGTTGGGTTTCAAGAGTAGAGGCCAATAATGTCAATGAACATACACTAGCCTATATGAACAGCTCCATTTCCCAGGGTTATTGGCATTTTCTAAAAATATACCTACCCACCTACCTACACTGAGGGGGGATGTATAAGTCATCCAGGCTTTATAGTGGCCCCTTACTTTCATGAAATCTTTGAATAGTATCTTCATAGTATCTATCATGAGGTTCCTTGACTATATGTCTTTGTTAATTAGGGGATTATCTAGGATAATTTTAAATGTCTCCCACTCTCTTTTGTTGTCAGAACCTTCTTTTTTTACTGATTTTCATATTGTGATACATATTTCACTCACCGCCAGCAGAAATGTTAAAATGTAAGAACCTTTAACAGTTTACCAATAAATAACAACAGATGGAGACATCAGGAGTAAAGCCTATTTTAGTTACAAATTACTTATTGAGAATCTACAAGGCAAACACCACAGGCTCACGGAGACAGCCCTGTGAAATTATAAAACAGATTAATCACAATCCCCACAATAGACAAAGAAGGTAAATGTGTAGATTAACTCAGTCTAGTTTGTTTAGAAAAATTTCCAGTACGATCTGATAGGTGCAATCACATTAATTCATTCAAATGTACATTAATTACGTATGGTTCAAAGCACTTTTCTTGCATTCTTGACAGTTGCATCATTATCTGGCATTAAACTTGTGTGTGACCTTAATCTATTTATATGGAACCATCTTTCTGACATGAATAAGATTTCTCTTGAGTAAAAGGGATGTGGATTTCTGAATTTCTTATATTAGATGAAACATATGTGCAAATACTAAGTTTGTCATCTCACACGTAGGTATTATATTCTTGATATGGTAAATGGTAAACCTTGTGCAGTATTCACATCACTACGAGACAACACTACAATTCTAAGGGCATCCTTTATCCACAGCAGGAAAGGAAGGCAAAGAGAAAGGAAGAACTGGGGGGGAATTAAGACACTGGAAATACATTGCAGGTCAGAGTGAAACAAAACATTTCTGTCTGGGGAAAAATCACTGAATTTTACTGAAATTCAACATAGGCAAACTATGCAGCCATGCACTTTTTTGCACACAATGTTGTTGACATTTTCTACAGCTGTCACCTACATTGGGCGAGAGATAAGCAAAATGCTAGGTAATGCTAGGTAATATCTACCATGATGAAACAGCAAACAACACCAGTTTCCAGTTATATTAAAACTGAGCAGCAAGTGGTATTGCTGATGTGACACAGGAAAAGCTAGCGCCTGAGTTTCCCTCCGTCATTACTGAGCAAATTATGAGGCTCTACCAAACAGCCAATCTTCAAGAAAATCTGTATGATGAGGTAATTTTATTACTCATTCATAGTGCCTTGTATTTGCTGGACTTAAAATAGACACTTGTACCCAGTGGCTTTTTATTACTGGAAGGAGGGTGGGGAGAGGGAATCACATACACGCCGGCCCTTTTTCTTACTCCTAGCAAATGGAAGCAATTCAATCCAACATGGGCTGAAACTTGAGTAGGTCACTGTACACCATGATAAAATTCCCTAATCCCTGAGCCAAATTTCCCTGAGGGGGCCCTCCTACTAGTCCTTCATTTTCCAAGCTGACTTTTCCATTCCCCAACCCTCTCTCTCCTGTTTCCCTCCCCTTCATCTCTTTAATTTCCCCCTACCTTACAGCCTTGATATCTGATCTGCTGCTGGGACTCAGGTTACAGTTTTTACAGCTTAGGCTGTCTATTGCTGTATATACATTCCTTTCTTTCTGCTCTGTCGTGATTACTTACCAGAGCTTATTTTACACAGGTCCAGATGAAAGCAGTTCAGATGAAGGGAAGCAGTCAAGCTGTTTGAACAGTACAGATATGTACCTACACAAGGGCACATTGTGTTCACAATGACATTTTGTTGCATACAGTGTTACCAGTTTGTTGTCACTATGCTCTTTAACTCTGTAAAGAGGAGGAAATCCCTCCAATATAGTCAATAAATGAAGAATTATTCTCAGAATGGTAATCAAGCCGTCCACATATGCAACACACTCGGATGCCAATCAGCTTAAAACTTTCATTATAATTTAAGACCATTCTGGAGAAACCCACCAATCCTATTAAAAGAATGTGGTCTCCAAGCTTAATAAGACAACTTGCTCTGGTATGTGGTCTAGGCTGTCTGAAAGCTTCTGCTGTTATTCACCTTTCAACCACCCAAACTATAAAAACTGTCTCCAAAGCTAGGTCAGTCCACAACCTTGGAGTCAATTGCTCATACAGCTAAAATTCTGATTTATTTATTTATCATAATACTGTTCAACTGCTAACAGAGGCTTAAGGAAAGGAGAAACTTATCTGATTAAGGGTAATACAAACACTTAATATCATGGCCTTTTTATAAAAACAAAATGTGAGTAATTTTTCCTCCTTACACACACACACACACACACACACACACACACACACACAGTGTTGTTTTTGTTTCTTCCTCACCATTTCAGACAAACATCTGTTATACTGCAGAAGAACAACTATCTCCCAAACCACCAAGTGTGCCTGCAGCCAAAGTAAACAAAACAAACCCAGAGGATCCAGCACAGTCAGCCTTTATATCCAGCCAGGATAACATTTCACATGTTTTGATTAAAATTAGCTAATTTGTAATCCTAGAACCTATGAAACTTAAAAACTGCAGTCCACACAGATTGCATGAAGCAGTGTCTTAAAGGGATAATGCATAGTGGGGCAATTTTCTGCACCCACTGTTCCCCCCTTCTCCTGCCCTCTTTTAAAAAAAAGTCAGGAAAGAAAACAAGAAAAAGAAAACAAAAACAAATTCAAGCCCGATCCAGCTGAGCAATTACTCAGTTGAAGTGTGTACAATGCTTCATCTCAAGATACGGTGTCATACATGTCTCAAGGAAATAAAGCTGTTGCAAAGGAATGTAGAGGATCTAGTCTAGAGAATGAATAAATGTTATTGATATGCAGGATATTTGCTCTTACGCATGCCATCTTTTTATTCAGATGCCCATCTGCCTGCTGTTTGAACAAATCCCGAGTAAGCACAAAAAGAAGGAATACAAATATAGCAAACTGAAAGAACTTTCCCCAATATTAAATTAAGAACTGAAAGAGAACCTGAGGATTATCCTTCAGTTTGGTGAAAATAAACAAAACAGCCCTTTTAATCCATATGCTTTACTATCCTTATACTCATAGTAGGTGTAGATGCATAGATAGATACAGTATATATTTTACAGCTCAACACATAACTTGCACATTTCAGGATGTAACAGCTGTGATCAGACCTATTGTGAATCAGCTGAATGCCACTTCATTCCACATTCAAAACTGTGCTGTTTTCATTATTATTGGGTTTTGATTATTTTTTTTTTAAAGCAAGTTCATCTCAGCCCTGCAACACGTGTAAGCCACAGGGTAAAGACAGATGAGAAGCATAAAATAAACATAGTCGTGGGCATTCTGGATAATAAAAACATGCAACAGAGGACCATTTCAGCTCAGCCTGCAACCCCAGGAGAAAAGAAGTCCTGAGGTGTGTTTCTGAGCAGCCGCTGCTATGCTAACATCTGGAGAGGCAGCCCACAGCCCTACCTCTGGAGCACAGCTGGATGGGCATCGTTTCCTGTCAAGACACTGACTTTCTCTCCTCCGGCCCCAACCTTTCCAAACAAACCTGTAATATATATATATACATATATGCATACACAAAACACATATGCATGAACCTTTTTTTCGGACAGCTCTCTTTCAACACAACACTCCTCTGGTTTGATTAACTGTGAAACGAAGCATGGAAAACAGAAACGGAGCAAGCAAAAGAGAGGAGGAGAAGGACAAGAGACCCTTGTGTCCAAAGCACAAGAATGATGTGCAGTTCAGACCATAACATTTCACTTTGACAATTTAATTACACAGTTGCAGCAGCTGGCTACTGGAAAAGGGGGGCGGCTGCCGAGAGGAGAGGGAAAGACAGGACTTAAATGACTTCCCTTCTTCTCTAACTTTAACATCCTCCGGGTGATTTGGCATAGCACACAAACAAAAAGGAGGGGTCGCTGAAACCTCTACGGGGTGGAAAGTTTCCTTTAAACAAAAAAACCAAAAAAGCCACTGATGGTGATTAAGAGCAATAAATCAAAGCTGCTCAGTGACCTGGCTTTGTACGTAGCCTGTGCGAAGTGGTCTCTGTTTGCATTTCAGGAGAAAGAGTTGGGACTTGTATTTCGTGCCGGCGATGTGTTGTGTTTTTTTATTCGTATTATTCTTATTTCCAAACCAGAAAACAAAAACCCGAGAAATCCCTTATTTATATGGCATTTCCACGCACGGGGGGCGGGAGGGGTGTTTGCGAGGAGCCTCCCCCATCTCTCCCTTTTCCCTTTTCGCATCTGAGAGAGAGAGAAGGAGAGAGAGAGAAGGAGAGACACAGAGAGAGAGAGAGCGAAGGAAGGAAGGAAGGAAGGAAGGGCGCGCGCACATACCTTCATCTCTTCATTGATTTCCCTTTTCACGGGGTGAGCCGGTTTCCTGCTCCTTTTATTTTCCGGAGGTCTCCCTTCTTTCTCCATTTCTGCCATTTTTGTGTGTATCTACTTTGGCGGAGATGAAATGGCTGCTGGTATTATTTGGGTTGGTGGGGAGGGAGAGGGGGAAGGTTGTCGAGAGGGAGAGGGAGGGGAGGGAGGATGGTGGCCGGCGGCGGCGGCGGGAACCAAGGAGGAGGGGGGCGGCGGCGGCTTTCAGCGCTGGGCGAAGGCGTCAGCGAGTGTCAAGAGGAGAAAGCGGCTCTCCGCTGGGCGGCTCGGGGATGCGGGCGGGCGGGCTGGGCTGTGTGGGTCGCGCCGGCGAGTCAGCCATCTTCTGCCTCGCTCTTCGCCTGCATGAAGGGAGCGCGAAGAGAGGCTCGCTCGCTCGGCGTGCGTGTGCGGTGTGTGAATGCGAGAGGGAAGGAGGGGTGCGGGGAGAGAGGAAAGAGAAAGAAAGGAGCCCGGCCAGCTTCTTCTGAGGGAGATGGGGGGGGGGGGAGGCAAGCAAGCAAGCAGGACGGCCCCCCTGCCCAGGCAGCGGGCGGGGCTTCTACTGTCACCAAATCCTCCGCCTCTTCTTCTTCTCCTGCTGCTGCTCAGGCTCAAATTCAAAAAAAAAGGGGGGGGAGACTTCTTATGCTTCAGTTGTCATCCTCCTCCCCCGCGGGGACGGTCGTCCATGGCGGAAAACACACCAAGGCGCTCCGTCTCTGTTCTCTCCCACTACCCCGCGTCAAACGCACAACGCTTCCCCACACGCACAGACAAGACAGACAGACACCGTCTTCGGTTACACGCTCTTGCCCACCGCCGCCGCCGCCGCAAACATTGTGACAAAACAAAGTGGCCGGGGCAGCAGCAGGGCTTCTGTAAAGACGACGAGCGAATGGGTTTTTTAACGCCCTCAGTCCCCTCATAGAGAGATGCACAACACAACGCGTGTGTGCGTGCAAGGGCTGTGTCCTCCTCAGACCGTGTGTGTTTGAGGGGAGATAATTGGAAATGAGGGTTGCCTTCGGCTGGGGAGCGAGCCAATGGGTGGCAGGAGCAGGATTGTTTCTGTGGGCACGGACTGAGAAATTGTGCGTTTGTTTATGTGTGTGTGTGTGAAGGAGAGAGAGAGAGAGAGAGACAAGTAGGGGCGCGCGCCCGCCAGCCAGCGGCCCCGGAGCAAGCGGCCAGGATGGATGGAGGATGCTGCGCGCGCGATACTGGCTTGGCCAGCTGCCCGGCTGCCCGCCCGCCTGCCTGCGTCTCTCTCTCTGCAGCGCGATTTCACCTTTAGGGAAGACGGTGATGAAGAAGAAGAAATACACCCATCACCAATAAAATAAAATAAAAAGACGTCGCGCAGAGAAGCTGCCTGCCCACGCCACTCGGAGAGCAACGCATCTGCCGTCGCCCTGAAAGCACTCCCGCTGGGGCGGAGTTTGACGTTTCCATGGGTGGGCGGCTGTTGGCGAGGGGCTCAGCCGCAGAAGCCGCTCTAGCATCCGAGAAGCAGAGGCATTCGCGCAGAAGGAGAGGCTTTTGTTGTGCGTGGTTTTGGCGGGAGGAAGGCTTACGCACGCCCAGGCTGGGAACGGCCCTTCCAAAAAAGAGAAGAAAAAGGCACTAGTCCTCAGGAAAAGGGGCGTTTGTCCCAGAAGCAAGAGGAGGGCTGGGCTCCCCCCCCCCCCGCCATTCCTTCCTAGGGATTAATGCGAGCCATCAAGGCTTTGGCCCAGAGCCCCTTCCCTCCAGTGCCAACACAGTCAGGTCGAGAGCGTGTTCTTGAATGATAAGGCAGAGTGCCTTTGCCTGCCCCACCGCTCTCACCACAACCAGACCCCCCCCCGTCAGAAGCACGTGTCCGAAACCAGGGGGTCACACCTATCCGTGCCTGATAATAATTGATGATGAAGAAGAAGTAATAACTATCATGGACACGGTAAATGCCTCCTCTTTCTCTTCTGTGTGGACAGCCCTTTGTCTCATAAACATCATTACCTCCTTCCCACCGCTAGCTTGAAAGCAGCCCCCAAATAATTCGGCTTTGCCCCCAATCGTTCTACAAAGGCAGGGCTAACTGGTCCCAGTCGTTAGTTTGGAAAGTAACCTGGAAATTAAATACCCACTCCATTAGCAGCGCCCCCTTCCCTCTTTCCCCTTCCTCACGTCGCACGTTTTGATCTTCTATAGATCCAGGTAACTCTCCCCCCCCCCCGAAGCAGACGCACTCTGTCATTTTAAAAGGCTTTGCTTACATCTATTTTGTTTCCGTCTTTATAAGCGTGGAGAGGAAGGTGGGGGGTGATGTGTGGTGCTGATGATAGGGTGAACTTGCAAAACGAAGCTCTGAATTATTGCACACAGTGAAGGGGGATACCTTGATTATTCCCGGTTCGTGCTTTCCTACACTTTGGCAGTTCATAATTACCTGATACAATACAATATGGGGGTGTCCATTGTTCCATTAGTCAAAATTGTAATTGTGAAGGAATTTGTCATTATGACTGCAGCTGAGCTTAAAATTATATCCCTTTTTTCTTAAATAAAAAAACTTCAAAAAAAATTAAAGACAGAATGCGTTCAGTGTAGCTATGAAGAGGCTCTCTTTTAAAAAACAACAACAACAACCCCCTTTCGCCTGTCAAATCTAGCTAAGATCGTTTTATACCTTACAATGTCTGATTTGCATTTCTGTTTAAGTTTAGACATGAGCTAAAAAAAGAAGGGTTTTTTGCTGGATTCCTGACTAGAATGTGCCACATTTGACTCTGCTAAGACAGCAAGGTAGAAGTACTTCAGCAAAAATAGAGTTCTGAAAGACATTTATGGCAGAAGGCATCAAATCTCTTATTCCAGAGAATCTCACTGAAGTCCAGTGGAATTTGCTAGGATGTACTCTGAAAGTTGGATGGGGATTCATCTGAGAAAAGCCTTAAATCCCTGCTGGTCTGAAAAGCAAACAAGCGAGTTCCATAGACTGCAATGTAACTTGTTTCCAAATGTGCAGGGAGATTGCCAGTGACACTCAGTTAATCGTTGTATTCAGCTTTTAATCTGTAAAATGTTTTACAGCCATTTTAATAGTAGCAATGAGAAATTGTATTTTAGAGCATTTCATATTGACCACTATAATCCTTACTGCCTTCACCCCATATAAAAATCCACCAGTGATACAGGTCACTGTTATTATCTCTATAACAGAGTGGTGGGACAGTAGATTGTATGGGGCAACCACCTACTCAGTTCATGACAGAGGTGATATCTGGACTATGAGATTCCTGGTTCAAGTTTTTGAACTGTGAGAACAGGATGCTGGATTAGATGGAGCTTTGGCCTGATCAAGCAGACTTTTCTTGTGTTCTTAGCCATTACATTGCAGGAACTCTCAACAGCCTCATCTTTATTGCATTTTGACCCTAGTACAAATATGAGGCTGGGCAATAAATAGGGTATTGTCCAGGTCCACGTAATAAGCCTACAGTAGAAGTAGAACTTGCATTCAGGGTTCACAATCCTCACCCACCTGAACACTGGTTCATAGTACCGTATTTTTCACCGCATAGGGCGCACCGGCCCATAGGGTGCACCTAGTTTTTTTGGGGGGGAAATAAAGGGGGGAATTATTTTTTTCCCCAGGCACGGGGCTGGGGCGGGGGAAGCCCAAGCTTCCCCCAACCCCAGCCCCCAGAACAGGCTGCTATCTGCAAGCCTTGCGGAGAGCCACACGAAGCCCGAAGCCTGGGGGGTGCTGAGCTCAGCGCGCCCCAGGCTTCGGGGTGCAGGCAGCTCTCCACAAGCCGTGGGAGAGCTGCGTGAAGTTGTGCAGCTCTCCCACGGCTTGCGGATAGCTTCCTGAAGCCTGGAGAGCGAGAGGGGTCAGTGCGCACCCACCCCTCTCACTCTCCAGGCTTCAGCGAAAGCCTGCATTCGCCCCATAGGACGCACACACATTTCCCCTTCATTTTTGGAGGGGGGAAAGTGCGTCCTATAGGGCAAAAAATACGGTAATTTACAGTGCAATCCTATATGTGTCTTATTAGAAGCCCTGTTGAGTTCTATAGAGCTTACTCTTAGGTAAGTGTGTCTATACTATAGGCCTGCAACCTTACTTGGAAAACACAGCCTTAGTGTAATCAAGCAATTGTCTAGTATTTTTACACCATTCATCAGCCAGAAAGACTATATATATATATATATGTTGTCCCTATCCTCAGTTTACATTCTAAAATAAACCGCATGAAAGGAAAAGAGAATAATGGGAAGGGAAAAGGAAAGCAAAGTGGGGTATAGGTAAATAATATAATAACAATACAAAGTAAGGCAAAGTAAGACACCAATTCTTAAAGTGGCAAACGTCTCATAACAGCTGGAATGGAAACGGTTCAGGGAGAGACATTGAAAGCAGCTGGTCTCTCAGCAGAACCAATGGTGTGGGCTTCGCTTCACTTTCTTCTCACAGGAGGAAAACAATTACAACTGTAGCAAAAAGCGCTGGGCTTTGAATTACAGTATGTAAGCTCTCCCTCACCAAAGAAGCTTTGAAACAATAGTACCTAGTAGCAAGCAAATTTATTTGAATATGTGTGATTTTGATTCAAATCAAACTTATGTCCAAGTGAGTTGCTTGAAATCTGAGCCTAGAATTGTACTCTAACCCTATTAAAAATATGTGGGAATTTTGCAATTGGCTTTAATGTGTTGTCAATTTTATGCTGAATCAAACAGTAAACACTATGTTTTTGCAATAACTTTTTGCTTCATCAACAAGCCAATTACACAAATTAGAATCCATAAACCTTCCTCTTAGAATTGTAGCTGTCCATACATGAAACACAAGTGTGGGTGGGCTTATGCTCTAAAAATAAATCATAAAAGAGACATTTGGAATGTATTTGTAACATTTTGGAAATTAAACATGTCTAGTCGAGTGTACAGTGTGGATCTGTGGCAGAATTCTTACAGCCTTCTCCATAGTGAGGAGAGTGTATGTGAATAGCAGGTGTTTAGGACTACATAGCCTTAAAATCAAGTGTTCCAGCTTAACAGGTTTCTGACTCAGTTGGCTTTTATTTTGGGTAGAAGGGGAGAACAGTAATTTCACTCTTGTGCCAAACCCCACAAAAAATGATAATGAATCACTGAGGGGATTTTTAATACATGCAAGCATGTCACTGTGCCTGTGGGTTTTTAATATACTGTGCTAGACAGAAAAAAAGATGTGCGTGGCTATAAACCTATCTCAGTTTATATTTCAATAGGTTCAGCTTTAACCCTCTCATGCTAAATTGTCAAGAAACTCCTGGTTTTCCTTTCCAATCATTTCTTAAATGTACAGAGCCTCTCTCTTGGTTTGGAGGTCACAAACTTGTTTTCTTGCTTTCAGCTCCTTTTCAAAGCCTGGCTCTTTTGAATTTCCCACTGATTTTAATGGTCTTGCAACCTCCCCAGGAACTGTCCTTGGAACCTCCATTACAGTGAGGCCCACTTCATATGAAACAAGCACCACAATGCATGATGGCTTCTTGAAATACCTTTGCATAGCGGCTGTCCCACATGGTGAACTGTTCAAGTGCAATGGCCTGCCATAGGGACTCTTCTGTTAGGTGGTTTTCTTCATACCAACAGAAACAAGCAACAGGATGTTTTCTGTGGCAGCAAGGAGACAAACCACATGGTGGCAGCTTGTCCATAGGATAAGCCAATACACACAAACAGCTCCTTTCTTTTGTTCCTCATTTTCTTAACCCTTTAACTCAGTGACAAGCATAGTCTCTCTCTTTGCATAAGGCCAATCCTTGCACAATGAACTGAAAGTGAAATGGGACCACCCAAAAATAAAGTATAAACTCGGGGGATGCCCTCTGTACAAAAAAATACCTAAGTTTGTGGATTAAAAGGAGGGGGGACACACAGCAAAGTGCCTGGAATTATGCACTTGTCAGTTGATGCTATGGTGGTTCCAAGAAACCTGAAGTCAGGTAGGCTATGTTAATCTATAACAGAGATTGGGAAGAAGAAGGAATTGGCCTGCTTGAAGACCTAACATGTTAGAGTAATTATATTGGAAGGGGACAAATAGAGTTGAGATGTTTTCTCAATGTCTATAACCCCCTTATATAACTATAAAATGCAGGTTTGGAATTGGCAACTCCCTGGTGCTGTACTGCATAGAAGGGGAAGGCCAGGGGAGCAGGGAGGGGTAAACTGCCATTTATCTCAGCTTCTGAAACTCCTCCTTGATCCACAAAGAGCTTTGAGCAGTACCACAAGGCTACGGTTCCAGTTAGCAGGTGAGAATACCCTGCAACATTTTTTGGGGTTTGGGGTCTTACTGTTGTTGATAAAGGTAAAGGTAAAGGTACCCCTGACCATTAGGTCCAGTCGCGAACGACTCTGGGGTTGCGCGCTCCTCTCGCTCTATAGGCCAAGGGAGCCAGCGTTTGTCTGCAGACAGCTTCCAGGTCATGTGGCCACCATGACTAAGCCGCTTCTGGGAACCAGAGCAGCGCATGGAAATGCCGTTTACCTTCTCGCTGGAGTGGTACCTTTTTATCTACTTGCACTTTGACGTACTTTTGAACTGCTAGGTGGGCAGGAGCTGGGACCAAACAACAGGAGCTCACCCCGTGGCGGGGATTCGAACCGCCAACCTTCTGATCGGCAAGCCCTAGGCTCTGTGGTTAATTAATTGTGTGATTCCCAGAAGGCATATGTACAACCTTTCTTTTAAAAGACTGTTATACTTCTGTTGTCGTGAATAACAAAGCACTCCTAGGTCTTAAATAGTTCAGGATCTGATATGACATGATCAGGCATTAGGCCTGTTGGCAGACCAACTGTGTATTACAAAGATGTCTGCAAACGTGGCATGAAGGCTGGCAACATTAACCCCGCAGTATGGGAATCTCTTGCATACAATTGCAGTGGCTGGAGATGGACAAGTCATGTATCCACAGCAAATACACAAAAAGTTAGTTGCATTTAAGTTCTGTTGAAATCAATGGGAGAAATTAATTACAGTGGTACCTTGGGTTAAGTACTTACTTTGTTCTGGAGGTCCGTTCTTAACCTGAAACTGTTCTTAACCTGAAGCACCACTTTAGCTAATGGGGCCTCCTGCTGCTGCCATGCCACCGAAGCACAAATTCTGTTCTCATCCTGAAGCAAAGTTCTTAACCTAAGGTAATATTTCTGGGTTAGCAGAGTCTGTAACCTGAAGCGTATGTAACCCGAGGTACCACTGTATTAGATACTTGCTTTTCAATATTAGGGGCGCACAAGTGATTCAAGCAAATAATTAAATAAATAATAGTTGCAGCTGCAGTCTTGATTGGGATCCCAAGATCAACAGGCGCAGCTATTTTTGTAGTCCTCCAAAGTATAGGCCTTTGAAACCATGGGCCTTTTTTGTAACAGTCTTTCCATACTGCATGACAAGACACTTGGAAACTGAGGGGATTTTCCAAAGCATTTTTAAATTACATTTTCTGTTGCTGGAAGAAAATTCCATTGGTATGCCCATGCCTCTTAGGGCATATCTAAAGTTGAATCCCAGCCCTTCATTTAAATATTATTTAAATGAATTTGAGCCATTTTATTATGTCTGTGGAGTGGGATTACTGTGCAGTACAAAGGGGCATTTTGAAAAGTACTGCAACTGCTTTGGGCCAAAATCCACTTTAAAAGAACAAACACTGCCATTTGGAAACAAACCCCGTGTATACATTTAAGCTGCTTTATTTCAACAGGACATTGTTTTAAGTAGAGGGGGTTAGCATCACACTGTTGGTTGCATTATCTGGACCACTTGCTACAAATTAGTACTACTATTTCCAGTGATGGGGGGACGCGGGTGGCGCTGTGGTCTAAACCACTGAGTCTAGGGCTTGCCGATCAGAAGGTTGGCGGCTCGAATCCTCGAGAGGGGTGAGCTCCTGTTGCTCCCAGCTCCTGCCAACCTAGCAGTTCGAAAGCACGTCAAAGTGCAAATAGATAAATAGGTACTGCTCCGTCGGGAAGGTAAACGGCACTTCCGTGTGCTGCTCTGGTTTCACCAGAAGCAGCTTAGTCATGCTGGCCACATGACCCAGAAAAACTGTCTGCGGACAAATGTCGGCTCCCTTGGCCAGTAAAGGGAGTGCCGCAACCCCAGAGTCATTCGCGACTGGACTTAACTGTCAGGGGTCCTTTACCTTTACCTTTATTTTCAGTGAGCCTATACTTTAATAAGAGCTGTACTCTTAAAGGAGTTCAACTTGAACATGAAATAATTCAGTCATTTATTGCCATGAATCCCATGGAAAAATCCTGTTTGAAGGGACCGAAGGATTGGGATGAAATCACTTAGTCTGATGAAGGGTAGGGACCAAGGAGTTCATTGGAGCCATAGCTGCCCCACCATTTCTGGATGTCACAGCAGAGGAAGCAGCTTCACCTGATCAAGACTCCATCCCACCTCCTGTCAACAAGGTCGCTCAGGTAACCATGGAGCCATTTGAGCCTGAGTCGGAGAGTGAGCTGGCCCAGACAGCCCAGGGTCCGTTCCCAAGGATACACTGTTGGGTGCACCAGTACAAGCACTACCACACCTGCAGGAGTTCCTGCTTGCTTGCC